AGAGCGGGGCGGCACTTGTGCTGCGTTCACATGTCACAGGCAAAGTAGGAATCTGGGCAATCAGCTCGAGCATACAATTGTCCTCCTGTGGTTCATAACACTTTACACCACATTTGAAATGTTGAATTCAGCTTGCCATGCCCAAATCCTAGTTTCCTGCTTCACTGACAAAAAGAAGGGAAAAAACAGCTCAGTATTAAGTGATGCCAAAAGAAAACCTGGCAACACTTTATGATATGGCTGCGATTAAACACGTAATTCCTTTGTAATTAAATTAAACTTCATTGTATTGTATTTAAAATTACAAAGTAATTATGTTTACCTACTAATACTTAAGGGCACGTACGCTAAAATAAGGGGTTAACGAGTAAAGTTTTTACAAGAAACAAAGAATAATTATATATTTAATTAAAGTAATTAAAGAAGTCTGTAAGTATTTTAATTGATGCGTAAGTCATTTTTGGCAGTGCAGAAGTCATTTTAAATATTGCACAATTTGAGGTATTTTACAGAAGAGGAGAAACAAATTATACAGTAAGTAATTTCAAGTACAGCATAATTTTGAACATCAATTATGCTCATTAAGATAATGAATATTAAATGCAGATGTAAAAAAAAGGCAAGATTTATTTCTACTCAATAATATGGTATGATCTAAGATGGTTTTTTCTTGTCTTTTTCTTCAAAATTACCTTACAATATAATTTCTTTGTTTCCTAACCTGACTTGTTACCTGCTATTCTAGTGTACCGGCCTTTAGGTATTAGTAGGTAAACACAATTGCATTGTAATCTAAAATAAAATACATTATAGGGGAATTACACCCTTGGTCACGGGCCTTATTACAAAGTGTTACTGAAAACTTTGAGAGGCTGACAGCTCTACAGAAACATGAATCAATGGCTCTCCTTCATCAAAACATTCTTAAGTGATTTCTTAGAATCCCATTTGCAATATGGAACAAGCCTTGAGATTTCCCCTGATGCATTTGAGGGTTTAGAAGAACAATGGACCAAAGAAAAAGAAAAGAAAAAATCCCCTATTTAGGCAAACATGAGATTGTGTTAATGGTAGAGGAAATTGAAGCCCTGCAACACATTCGTTGAACTGCATAGCTTGTTGAAAAGGCTAAAAACAGAAGTGTGGCTGATAGGCATTCATGACTACAGCACCTCTACATATACATACAGTCACTGTAAAAAGAAAGTACGCAATCTTTCAGCTCTAAGGTATCAGGAGGTGATTTGGTCTTTAGCAGGTTTTAAAATTAGGTAAATTTTAGAACAACACTCAGATGAAAAACACTCAACATATTACACCACACTGCATCTGCAAAACTGTAGATTCAATTCAATTCAATTTTATTTATATAGCGCCAAACCACAACAAAAGTCGCCTGAAGGCGCTTCAGTAAAGGCATCACCAGGAATCACTGGGAGGACTGAGTATTCATCAAGTGGTCAAATCAAATTAGCAAGAATGTAACGATCCTGGGTCTTTTGACCCGGCGTTTTGAGTTTTAGTTTATGTTTAAGCCCTTCAGGTTTTCTAAGTTCATTTTTTATCATGCCCAGGTTGTTCTAGTTCTTTGTTATTAGATTCCCCTTGTGTCTTCCACCCCTGTTAAGTCTCCCTTGCTCTTCATGTGTTTCATGTCTGTGTCTTACGTTGTCAAGTTCAGGTTGTCATGTCTGCGTCTTATGTTTCCTGTTTTATTTTGAAAGTCCAGTTTTCATGCCATTGTGTTTGAATTTACATTTCCTGTGCATCGTTATGTTCATCCTTGTCAGCTGTTTCCTCGTGTGTCTCGACTTCCCCTGATCACCTCATGTGTGTATTTAAGTCCTCTGTTTTCTATGTTTCGTTGTCAGGTCGTCTGTTTGCATCCCCATAGTGTTTCGTCATAGTTTACTCAGTGTTCATTTTCACTGAGTTTCTTAATCCTTTAGTTTTCCGAGTGTTCTTAGTTTTCCTTTTATGCTTTTTCATGTGCCAACATCCAAATAAAGGATCGTCTTCTGTTCAGCCAGCAACTCCGCCTTTCAGTGTCTGCTTCTGGGTCCTGTAAACTAAACTTATCGGCGCACCCCGCCGTGACAAAGAAAAAGACTGAAACAAGTGAGGATGTGCAGAGCTTTAGGCTGTCTTTGTTATAAGTGAGGCTTCTAAATGCAGTTCAGAGCATTTGCTGAGCTGTGGATGGAGGCATTCTGCCAAAGCACCCAGTATGAAATCACTGACTGGCATCTTTTCAGTTATCATTCAGTTAGTTTAACAAATAAGATGAGTGTGCTCTGAATCTCTTACATCTGGAGTCAGTTTCAGGTGCATTAAAGCTTGTGCGTTTTTGAATTTCGCCTTTGAATCATCCACACACACCAAAGTAGAACAAAATTCATTTTTGTTACTCTTCAACTATAAGATTTAATTAATCTCCAAGATATCATCCACAGTTGCACAGCTGAAATGAGTCACTCGTTCTAAAAGAGTGAAAATCACAATGTTATCACAACAAAGCATCAACTTTGCACTATAAGCTACAATCATGTTATCTGAAATCTCCCCTCTGAATCCTTATGCTTGGCCCTTTTCAGTCTGGGCCCAGCACACGGGTCTGCAGGAGGTATTGGGCTGCTGGCTGGGCGCACAGGGTCGAGGCTTTTAAAGAAGTCACTGCGGCCTTTGTTGCAAAAACACATTCGTGGAAAATTGGTTGGCATGTTGTAGACTAATCCTCCCCCCCCATTTCCCATACCGCGTCTTTGTTGCTCGCATATGAGCTGTGAGTGGAGAAGGTGAGGAAGAAACTAGGAGCGAGAAGTTGCAGCAACAGACTTAACTAAATGTGACATTCCTACCTCTGAGCCAACATTTTAAAACTCTGTCAAATAAACATGAAGTTTGACACAAGCGCAACATAAAATATTATGTTACAGCCAAACTACAGTTGTATTTCCTTTTTGTTCATCTCAGGTGCAGCAGTGTTCATGACAGTTTTGTATTTTGGCTCATTTTTAATTCAGTTCTCAATTTGCTGCACATAGTGACAAGATATATTTTCAACCACACACAGGAACAGTAAAGTACAAAGTTTGATCACCTTCAATAACCAAGTCAACAAGAACAACTAGTTGGTTTTGTAGTCCTCCTCTAACTGTGTTTTGTAAATTCCAGCTGTGTGCCACGTGGTCTATATGGCTTGAAAGTAAAAATACTTCTGCAAGTGATACAACTGTGAATTGTTGATTATAATTCCTCTGGCAAGTCTTCTCTTGCCTCCAGATAGATTTTAAGAATTGAGACATCCTTCAGCATGGTGTACTGAGATTGATTGCCAGGTCACAGATGAGAGAAAGTAGGATAGAGGAGATGAGAAGGCACAAATTAGAGAACTGAGAAAAGGCTTAAGACTCGTAGCTGGGTACCTTTAGCTACAGATGCTGAGGTTCTGGTTGGTACCTGGGGACTTGGTTTTAGTTATCAGGGCTGAGACGGTCAGTATTTCAGTCAGTCTTTTTATTTAGGATGCAGCGTCTAATACAAAGTCCAAAATGAGAGCAAACAGAAATCCCAAACAGCAGGTGAACACATAAGGAAGCACAGAAAGCCCTGTGACAAAGACGGAGGGGAAGACCAGACCACTTATACACGAGGGGGAGCAGAATCGGCTAAAGGAATGAGATGCTGGTGTGGAGAACCGTCAAAGTAAAAGAGGAAATAACCCAAAAGATAACTACTCAACACAAAGACATGAACACACACTGAAACATACAGAAGGAACACAGGAGGGAGGAGGCTGGAAGGAAAGACAAACCCGACAGCAGCAACATTACGAAACAGGAAACTGATCACCAGAGGTAACGTATAGCTCAGTATTAATAATAAAGGGAACAAACTCTGAAAATATAATAAACACAAAACTCCTTCAACCTCATGTACAGGAATATTCAGAGAATCAAAACATCAATTCAAGATAAACAACATATCAACTGCCTTTAAGCATATCAGCAGGAATTAGGATGAAAGACATATGAACACTTCCTAAAGGCAGTCACTCAAACGCCCCGTGGAGTGGAGGTTTCAGTTAATGACGTTAGTTCTTTAAAGATATGAAGCATAAGTTCAGTACGGAAAATCTGTTCATTCATCTGCCTACTTTCTTTTCTTTTCTTTACCACTTTCGCACGCTGTCCGTCTCAATACTAACATCAGTGCTCTGCTCCAATCATCTTCCTGCCCAACTTCTCTGAGCCAATAAGCCTCCACTTTGCGTGGTTTAAATCTATGCCCTCTGTCATTCTCCCTTTAAGACTCATTTGTGCAACCTAGGCTTACACGCACCTCAGTAAGAGCCGAGACTACATCCTGCCATGATGGCCCATCGGAATCTAATCGCCAGATACGTTCATACGCTCAATAAATCACGTTCAGTTCTTCCAGCTGATCTCTCCTTATTGTACTGCCTCAGTCGGCCCAGACTCTTCCCTGAGAGGTTAATAACTTTTCTTTCAGCTCAATTCTTACTGGACAAAGTTTCTGAACAAAGCAAAATACAAACAATTCAGACTTGAATAATGAAACTTCTGCATTCTGACCTGAGACACAGTCATTCTGCGTATAAATTAAAACCAAGTCCAGAATAAAATAAGATGTTTGAAAGGACACCAGATACCAACGAGCCAACTCGAATAGCATTTTACAGAAGGACACACAGCATTTACAGTTTTGCACTTTCATTCACGTTACATATACAAACGTGTTTTTTCATAATCATCTTAAATAATCCACCATAATATTTATCCTGTTTGCATACATAGCTGCCATGATCCTTATGTCACATGATCTTCTCCAGCATACTGACAAATCCATTGGACACAAACTCATCTCAGAGGTTTTGGATGAGGCTCATTTGTGATCTAGTCATTCTCCACTTACAGCACAACAGGAAAAAAAAAAATCTTCCAAAACAGGGATACAAGAGCCAAAGTTCCTCTGAAAACTTCCTTAGCCACCTGAATTTTCAATTTTCCCCCAAACGGGCAGGTTTTTACAGCAGAATCTACAGCAGTGGATACACTGTAGAGGTTTTACTTTTGGTCTTTAATGCTTTTGACTGCAAGTGAGTCAAATTTATAACTACAAGATGTTTCAGAGCCACATTTTTCTTGCATGTTGCTTCACTGGTTCTACCACAGCTGCTTGCTTTACTGCAAGCTAATGTTAAAGATCAAAGTAAATAAAATAGTGTTGATGTTATTCAGTTGTCTCTTCCCCATATTTAATGCAAAATTAGCTGCATTTAGGATTATATTTAATTATATGCTCCACTTCATGTCTTGCTTTTATTTCTTCTCTTGGCCTTGAAATTGGGTTTGCTTGAACAAAATCATAAATACTGCTTACAAGGAGGGAGGTGGGCTCCACTTAGAGAGGTCAGGTCTCTACTATGGTACTCTTGTGGTTAGTCTTCAGGGGCCACCCACTGACATTGGGGCTCAAACAGTTGTCCGTTGACTGGCGACTAGACTGTCACCATTGAACTAGTTGAAAATTAAACCCGAGCAGAGTTTCAGTCGTAATCGTCTGTGAGAACTTGAGTTTCTCCATTCATGTATTTTCTGTGTTCAACCCTCTCCTAGTTTCGCTTGTTTCAAGAAGAGGATAAGCTGAAGAGCCACACCAGTCCAAAACAATTTAGAGTTGGGAAGAATAACAGGTCTCCTTTAAATACCCAAAATCTGAGAAACAACAACAAAACAAACACCTTTTTAAAACCTTGCAGGACAGTTGCGGGGCAGACTTTTCCATTTTGTCAAGTGGCAGGGGAAAGCCACAATACCTAAACGTTGTGTTAAATGCATCACAAGGAATGCATCGACTTAAAATTTATTGATTCATGCAAGGCAGATATTTCAATATTTCAGGTGGTAAATGGTTTGTTCAGAGAAACTTTAAAACTCTGCAGAAAAATATCACTAAACTGATTTTTGTTCCACTCTTGATTTTAATTAGAAGTCAGGGAAGCACAAAGGTTAGACTATTCATGATCAAACCCAAACACCATCGTAGGTTTGCTCACTTTGTTGCAAAACTCTAAATACTTCTAGGAATCGACATGTGGGTGACGAAAAAGCCAACCTTTTAGGTTGTTGGCCAACATGCGAGAACAAAACAGCTTCAGGGGCCTTTGGAAGAGACTCATTTACTCTTTTTGGTGGTGGGTCACCCTTTAAACCAGCCAAACCCAACAGTTTTACTTTGTTACAAAG